ATGTGTACATATACAGTATATGTTAATATATAATAACAATTTTTGAAGCTTAAAGTTTTCAAGAGAGGCTTTGTGAAGCTTTATGATTGATTATAAAATGTATGTCAATTTTGTTTAACCTGACAGTTTTTAGGGTTCTATCCTTGAAAGCCATAGCATCTGCCAATTTTCCAAATCACTTCTGGTGCCATTTGTCCCATTTCGTAACATGGCAGAACCGGTAGGTTCAGCCGTTACAATAAAATAAAGGTGGGATGAAACCCCACCTTTATTTGATGTAGGAAAGACTGAGCAAACTCAACCATAGCCATGTTTTCCCTGTGTCATTCATTTCTAATATGCCGAGGCATAATGCCAGTTGTGAGAGAGGCATTTCTGTGCTGCCTTGGTCAGCATGGAAGAGCAGTGTCTACTTTGTTAAAGAAGACAACATGAAGACCTAAATACATTTCACAGGCACTTGATTATTGTAAATTATTGAGAGTTTCAGGTGATAGTCCCAGGACAGTGTATTTTTATTTGGTAAGGGTCAGGGGAAAAAGGAAATCCGTTCAACAGAATTATCAGTTCATGCAACTTGTTTGGGGTGATATGAATTTCTTAAAAAAAAAAAGCAAAAGAAGAAGGCAGAATGCAAGAGCATAGTGTAGTATTTTCTTTAATTGGGATAAACACTCAAAATATTGTCCATTTCTTAGCTACCCGAAAAGCATCCCATTACACATTACAAGCTTTTTGACAGTTGATGGTGCTAACTAATTTATTTATTTATATCTATTCTTAGACCATTAATTGTCTGGTAGCTGTAAACTTCAGATTGGGAACTCAATCATTTTGGATTGCATTAGTAGAATCCTATCACTTCAGGCAAAACATGATGAGCATGGTGTTAACGTTCCTGCACTAGCTTCCTGATGGGTTTTTTAGGAAAAACTTGCTGGGACCCGTAGGTAAACAGTATGAAAACATGAGAGGCTCCACATGTGCATTACAGCTTTACAAATCTATAAAGTCTCAGAGACCTTAACAGATACTGTTTTATTCACTGTACATGCTTTAGGAAATGCTGATATAGCCCTAAATAAAAATAAAACTTCAATTAAATATATTTATGCCTAATGTTGTTATTAGCCTCCTGGTGAACTCCCATGGCTCCTGTAAATTTCAGATAAAATTAAAGATGTGAATTTCAGAGACTGTACTAGCTCTTTGAACATTTATTGTAGGACAATGGCTTCAGGCCATGGTAAGATATAAATTAGTTCATTTTACTGTAAAGTGGTTCAAATTGCATGTAAATACAACTCTGTGAAAATCTGCTATTTACTTTGATGTTTTTAATCCATCTTAAACCAATAATTGCAGGATGGACACAGTGTCATTCTTACAATGGGATAAGCCCTCACAAACTGAAAAAATGTAACTTTTTTTTCTTTGCATGTGAAATGGTTAATGCACGGACAGATATTTAAAGTAATCTTAAACCAAGAAAAAAGTTCTTGGATATGCTGTAATTCTGTAGCTGAAAAAACTTTGGACTCTGTAACAGTGGAAGAATTACTTGTGTTTAGCCATTGAGAGCGGACACAGACCGGATTCTGAAAATCATTGAAAAACAGCATTAATTTAAAAACTGAGAATTACTTTTACATTATTTCAGTCGCTCTACAACAATGTGATTTTGTAAGTTCTTGATTCCTAGTCAAGTCTGTTTTGACAACTGCTACCTGCAGAAAATGTGCCAAATCTTTCATTAGAGGGCCAAAATGTTTAGTTTTGCTAATGCATAGATTAATGTACAGTATTTACAGTTAGTGTAAAGAATAGGAAAACCTATCTGATGGATATCAATCCCACGGTGTTGGCGTTCTTTCAATTAAATGTTTAGTGGCTTTGCATTTATGTTCAGGTTTTGATCAATAATTGATAAATATATTGGGGTTGATTTACTAAAGGCAAATAGCCCAATAACTTTGCAAGGAAATGTATACTTAGCAGGGGAAGTTTGCCTTTACTTTAGTGAATGAAGGGAAGCTCTACTGACTTTTATCACCCAATCATGTTCAAAAAACATTTTTTCCCCCATTTTCCTTGCACATGATTGGGTATTCTTTACAAAGTGAAGTTTCACCACATTCACTAAGCTAAGGGAATCTCCCCATGCAAAGTGCAAATTCCCTTGCAAAGTGAGCAGCCTATTTGCCTTTAGTAAATCAACCCCATAGAAATTAATTTTATTGTACAGTAGGCGATTGCCAACAAGGAGTTCATCTTATACTGATAAGCATTTATCTTTTTTTTTTGAAGTTGAGACCTTAAAGGGGGATTTGTCACAGGCCAGAACATTTTATGTGACCAGACTGTAGTAGACTACATGTTCCTAAGTAGTGAAGCTAAACTACTCACTTCCCTATATGTAGCACTTAAGTCAGTAATGGCTGATTCCCTCTGCACCTAATCACACAGGTGTTTTGCTTCGTGACTCTTTTTCTTTAAACAAAAAAGACAACTTAGGATATTGCTTCATCTGATGTGACACATATTATAACTTCAGCTTGGTGTGTATGCTACTTTCCCGATGGGTTTATAAGGGAAAAACATGCTGAGTAAACAAAGAGGAAACATAATAGGCCCCACACCTCCAGATGCTCCGTCTAAAAATCTGGAAACAAATTGTGTTATTGGTGGCTGGTGATATCTTTGGAAAATCAATAAATATGTTATATTTTGGTCTTATTACATGGAAAATATGACTTGTATGGGCATCTTGCGTTCAGCTTTCACTTGTTGAATAGAGTGTCTTAATGGTGTAACAGCTGAGTTAGTTAATAATTTTAACAACGGAATTAACTTTTCCTTTTTTTTTTTACTAGTATCCTGCTGCCTTGATGAATCTGGGAGCTATTCTTCATCTTAACGGCAAATTAGAAGAGGCAGAAGCCAACTACCTCCGAGCTCTTCAGTTCAAACCAGATGATGTTATCACCCAGTCCAATCTTCGCAAACTGTGGAATATCATGGAGAAACAAGGTTTAAAGACGTCAAAAACGTGACAATAAAGGACTAGAGACTTTTGGCCAAACATTAGATTATACAATTGGACCTGCAGGGAATAGGGGAGCTGTGAGCAAGGCTTCCTGCAAGCATTGGAATGCCTAATTGCTGCTAGTAGAGTCTTCTGCTTTGGCAAAGTCGCTGTTCCATGTTTAATTAAAAAAAGGGAAATTAAGTTGTGGAATTTAAAAAAAAAAAACCCTGCAAAAGGGATTAGGAAATGCTTGTATTAGCCCAGATAATGAAAGGCACTTAAAGTGAGATCTCTCTTTATTGCAGAGCGACCGGTTGTGAATATTTCTTGAATAGGCTAAAGCTAATGGTAGCCTTTAAAGTTGTACAACAAGGCATAACAATATAACTAATTTTAATTGCTAAAATAATTAACATTAAGTTACATGGATCAATCATCTTTCAGAGCTAATTCACAAAATTTACTATATACTGTTACAAAATCAAAATGTTTTTGGGTATATTGAATGGTTTCCTTTGGGGATAGTAAAGGTTCTAATTCCTCTTGTTTTGCCTGGCCAGTGCATTTTCAAAATATCATCGTTTGCTTTTTAAGGTGGATTACAAATTGATGCATGAAGTTAATTCTAACAGAGGCAGTGTTATACAAGATAGTTGTTTCCATCCATTATGGCTTTAGTTTATATTTGTAGGAAAGCCCTTAGCAAATACTGAGCTCTCGCCATTCATCAGTTTACATATCATATCAAGAAAACAACCAGTTAGACATAACATTAAATGGCCATTTGGTCAAACGACAACATGCACAATTTCCATTTGTTTCAATGTAGCACAATCTTGCTACAAACCTATTTCTTTGCCATCCAAATTGTGAAAATCCACAATGAATTAACCAATAATTATATGTCACAGGTGATTTTGTATGTGAAATAAGTTCGGTTAGGAATGTGGGGGGCCAGAGGCATTTCTTCTTAAGGGATAACTAAACCCAAGAACAAAAATGTAATATATAGCAGCTTACCAGCCTGTAGATGTGGTGGCTGCATTAGTATATATTTTTTAGTCTAAGAATATTTTCAGCAAGTACAGAAAATACAAGTTGATCTTGCCAGATATGCAGTTTCCAGATATGCAGGAAGCAGAAACAATGTTATTGTTCATCTGTAAACTACTAAAATCCCCACCCCATGTAATGGTGTATGAAGAAAGGCAGACATGTTTTAAGTCCAGCCTGGATATCGGCTATAGTGTCATCCATAGATACAGTGCAGGAGTAACCATATCCACCCAGGAAGTATATTGTTTGGAGGATTACCATGTGAAAAAAGGGGGGGGGAACTATATAAACGAATGCAACCACCACATCTAAGAAATGGTACGCGCTTCCCACCAAGATGGTACAGCAACCATTATCAAGAAATGTTCATGGTGTGTTTAAAACGAAAGCTGTTATGTGACCAAAAATAGAGATAAGAGAGAGTAGCTGCAGCATAGGAAAAAAATATGTTTTAGGATTATTTAAGTAAATTTAAATAAAAGTAATTTTAAGAGAAAATGAGAAAATGTAATCAGAAAAGTTTCTGATTTACAAATGTTCGATTATTCATTCCATAGCTTAGCTTAGATAGGTCTTTGTCCTTCACTTTTACTGCTGTAGAATTTTTTTACAGGTACATGCATTTCTAAAGCCATTAATCTGCATAAAACAACACTGGCCTGAATGATCTGGTCAGTTTTTAAATACTGAGCTTGTCTTTGCTTTTTATCACCATTAATTCAAGCAGAAGCGCATCGGAAAATTGATTGGAAAAAATGTTTTTTTAAATATATGTGTTTTCATAAAGAGACATACAAGTGGAAAGAAATTGAAAGAGTAGGGTCCACATTGCTCACTACTGGGCCTCAGTTTATTCTTAAATCCCTAAGACTAAGCACTTTGCGTGTGAAAATACATCAAGGCTCCTTATTTTGATACATTTCTACATCTTTACTAATAAACATTGTTCTAGCAGAATGGACCCAACTGTTTGGATTTCTTTGAGACCTGGCAAGGTCTTAAGGACTTAAGGAATGTGGGGCCAGCTCCCTTGCAGCAGTAGGAATTTTTGGAAATGCAGCTGAAACCATCATTGACAGAGGTGGTTTAAATAATATAAAATAGGTATATTCATAATGCACTTAAAATAATAAAAAGAAGGTGTATCAGTGCATCAAAAAGTGCACACCAAGTCTGCATTTTTTGATGCATAGTAAATAAGTATTTTCCTGTTGAGCCCCTTAGTGTAAACTCGTGTTCTCCTAATATGGGCAAGAAAAAATGCATGCACTGCATTTTGTTTAGAGAAAAGGGGTCATTCATTCTACATTACAAATTGAATAATAATAAAAAAAAAAGCTTTCTTAAGTCTGTTTTATAAAATCTTCCTTTTTATTCACTTTATTGATAGGTAAAAATGCTATTTGAAACTTGTAAAGGTTACATATGTTAGTGAATTTTGACAGCAGTTCCTTATATAAAACATTGTAAATTTACTAACCCTTATATTGTGCTGTAAAGAATGATTGCGAAAGGGAACATGATTTTCTAATTTGCGTGTGTTTTTAAAATTCCTATTGATTTTTTACTTTTAGAGAAATAAAATATATATTTTAGTAAAAAGATAAACTCTTAAAACTAGATTTGTTTTAATTACCTGTGACTATTAAAATGTCAGGAGGCAAAGTCTCTTCATGGGCTATAGTGCCGGAGAGTAAGTAACTTAAAAATCTAGTAATTAGGCTCTTGCTCAGTTCAGTCAAGTATTTTATAGTTTTCACTGATTGCATTTATTAAACAAAAGAACAAGGTATGCTTTAAATTAAAAACCCACAATACCTCTTTTGCCATATTTTTAACATATGTTCTATTGTTTACATTACTAACTGCATTTAAAATCTCCAGATAAGTAGCAATGTTACATATTCAGTGGATGGGAATTCAGATAGTACCTGCTCATTTTGTATGTTTCCATCCCTTTTTCCTGTGATCATATGTTAAAAATTTAACCTGTTTAATGCAGTGTTAGACTTCCTCTATGTCTATTAACAGAGATCAAAGTTGAAGAGTCAGTTCACTTTTTTACAGAAAATAAAAAAGGTGAACTAACTCACCATCCTACCCCACCCACCTTCGATTCATGCTGTGCTTAGCTGCTTAGATTACATACTTTGCTGCTCACGCCAGTCAGTATAACGGACTGCACACTTCATAAACTTCAAAACCCGTTATTGGTCAGCACTGACCCATGAGACTCTCGTCTCAGAAGAAAGGAGGCTCAGAAGATATTCTCATTGGTCAATGCAGTCATATGGGGCTGTGCACTAATATTTAGAAGTGTAAAACCCATTACACTGGTTGGATAGGTGGTGAAGGAGGTCATCTAAGCTGCTAAGTGCAGTGGGGACCGTGGGTGGGGGGTGTTGAGAGTTAGTTCATCTTTTTGTTTTATATAAAGTGGTGAACTAACACTTTAAACATTTTAAAGTTAACCTGTGCCCAGATCATGCACAGTAAAGTATGTGCATATTCTGAACAAGTGGTAAAAGCACTTAAAACAAGCCCCCATTCACCTTTATATCTATAAGCATTGGTAAGAAATTAATTTTCAAAATTCAAAACACAGGAACTGTGTTTTTCTCTAAAAGCAGATCCTGGCTGGCTGGCTGCCTGTCCTCTAGTGTAAACAACCAACAGGTGTTTCTAAGCTGAAACCGATTTAATGGACTTTGTTGTAATTATGGACGATCTTTAATCATGAATAACTTTACCTTAAAATCAGCAAAAGAGGTCAGGGGTGGCCTGTTTTAACCACTTGAGTCCCCGAAACCATTTTAAAATGGCTCTGGAAATCAGAAGCTTCTCACAGGCTCAGGCTGCAACAGCCACCTGCCGGTGACAACTGACATCCAGCACTAAGCCTAGGAGCTTAGTGCTGGATGTCAGCTGTCACCGGCAAGTGGCTGTTGCAGCCTGCGATCTGGTCAATGAATCTCAGATCCAGGCGCCCATGAAGAAAAAAAATGTGAATACAAAGTAAAAAAGAAAAATATGCAATGTTTGTGGGTATGTGTATATACAGAGTAAATATAGAGGCACTCATGGGTCTTACGTAAGTAAAAGCATTATTATGTTATTGTCAACAAAGTTTTGCTCAATTAAGTTTCAATTACATTTTGTCAAAAGGTTGACAGTAAAAATCTGATGCTTGGACTTCTCTCTGCTGCAAGACCCGTGAGTGCCTCTATACCTACTCTGGATTTGTATGGATATTACCAAAACAAAACAAAAACCACTCTGAGACTCAAGTGGTTAAACTCTTTTATTGCTTGTTAAGAATATGTAAATAGCTTACTGCACATAATCTGGGCACAAGTGCAATTTAAACTCTCTTGCCCTCCCACTTTCAAAAACTTTAAGTGTTTTACATTTTGCAATGTATGCCTATGCATCTTATATTGGTGAAGGAAGTTAGTAAAGTCTGGAAAACACCTTTAAATAGATTCCTATTTTATTGATTTTTCATATTACTCCTATTGAAATATCGTTTCATATTTCCTCTTAGTAAAGTTAATTAAAACAAATGTCCATACTACAACATTTTAATACATTTGTATTTTTACTAATGGAGCAGAGTATATGTGGATTGAATAATGTCACAAATGGTTTTTTTATTGTGCTCTCAAATCTTTTATTCAGTCTTTTACTTCCTGTGGAGTAGTTCAGTTTGTTGTATTGCCATCTGCTGTGATTTGCTCCAAAGGCTTCTGTGTTTTTTTTTACTGCCTGCAGACAGTACAATAATCTGTTCCAAACATGACAAAGTACACAAGGCAACCTGCCAGCTGCATCTTCGACATTTTAATTTTCAGTTTGTTTATTCCAGACCATTTATATTTTCACTTTTTTGTGTCCTATTATTATCTTTTCAATTGAGCATGCTTGCCCTGTTTCTCAATCAATTTCTGCTTTGGGTTTTTTTTGCAAACTTTGTAACTTTATGCTTCTCTGCCAGGGTCCCAAGTTTCTTATTTAATGTATGTAGTGCATTAATTTCCTTTTTAAATCACTGTGTGATATTTAAAGCCAGTATTTTACAGATATATTTTTCTTGAGATATGATGGTGAGATAAAATAATTTTTTGTAGACCTTTTATTTAGTTTGGAAATATAGAAAGAGTTTGTGTTTAAAACCTAAACATGCATTAATTCATGTAGCTGATCTTTTTCAAATGTTTGCACTAATGAGGACATCATCTGCATAAAGCAAAATGCCAGTTCTAAAAATGACAAAATCCAGATTTCTACCAATTTATTTTTTTTGTTAATTAAGCTTAAAACCATCGTTATTATCTTGTAACAGGGTTGTAAACTTAAATGACAAGGTCTTTGCATTAAAGCAAGTTATAGGATCAACTTAGAACAGTTTGAACATTTGTTTCATAATTTGT